TATACTCACTTGGACGAAGAACATCCCCTTAAGATTTCAGCCTTCTGGCTTCTCAGATCCCCGAGTTATGAACTTACCTGAAAAAAATTTTGGCGGGCTTTTGCGTGGGTAACACGCGGGTAATGGCGCCCACTTTGGGGATTGGGACCCTACGTGCATGTAGATTAAGTTCCCAAAGTTTCAGACTTTTGTTGGCCTTGAGATGAAAAAGCGTGACAGACGCACACACAGACAACCCCTCGTCAATATGCGTTTTTTGCGTTGTTTGCACTGCAAAAAACGCATAAAAAGGCTCAGTTCGCAAGGGTGGGCCATCTTCCTCTTTCTGGGCTTTACGTGTCGGGCTAATTTTCCAAATCTCGGCGTGTAAAACAAACTACAAAGTATTTTTGCAAGTAATTTTGAATCCTGAAAATGATGTATGAAGACAAAAATTATCGATTTCATGCCCGATGAATTTTCAGAAATTACATTGACAATAACATTTAAATCGGACGGGATATAGATCGGTATGGTGGACTGCGTAATAATCGATGTCTGATGATTGTATGTAACGAAAAACATTGGAACTAATTCTCGAAGTATCTAAAAATCACCAAAGTTCGGTGCTTTTTAATTCATATTGTGCATCGAGAATTTTATCAAGCTGATTCATGCAATTTGATAAACTAAGCAGATGAAGGGCTTATTGAACTTATTCCAGTAAAGTGTGATTGGAATTTGCAGAAATTAGAAGGAACAAATAAAAAGTTCCTAGCTGATGTTTGAGAAAGATAATATAAAAAGATAAGGTTGTCAACTGGTTGTAAGTCAACCTGGAATGCATACTGATCGTTGGTATTGAAATCATCATCTGTATAATGCCAGATGGATATTGGACCATCGGCTACAATTTCGTGCGAATTTTGACTTGTTAGTTGTGGACATCCTAAGAGCTGATAGCTACGATTCCGCTTGCAAATCATATGCTCTGAAATGCTGGCGGATTTAGTGTAGCGACAAAGATGGTACTTTCGAGGACTGAGATCTTTTGAAAATTTTATGAACCGGGATGTATGAAATCCCCACA